CATGGTCAGTGGGTTAATCCCTCAGTGAAGTCACCGCATCGAGAGGAGGCAAAACACAGGAGGTGGGGCCTAGCTAGGGAGTAGGTAACTGAGACATGTCCTTTGGGTTACTCTCATCTTGACTCCTTCCTGTATCCCTGTTATGTAACATGCTGTGAAAAAGAACACCTACTCATCCCCGATGGAGAACCAGGCACAGAGCAAAATGAGGTTCCCACCATTGTCCAGCTCTGAACCAGGGAATTTTATGGGTGTTACTGCAGGCATACAAGTGAGGGTTACTTATAGGAGCAGAAATGACTCTGAAGGGGGCAGGGAGGGTTTTGTGCTCACAGGACATGCACTAGTGGGACCTGGAATGTTAAACACAAGGGTTATTCCTTCCAGGGAAGGAATGCAAAACCTGTTTTACACCCAGAAGGCTGGAGTGGACGTATTTTCTATCTAGCCGGCTGACCTTTGCACAATCAGCGTGGTCAAAGACTTTCTGGCACCAGGCCCTCCTCCAGACCCTTCTCGTAAACAGGTTTTTCTTAGTCAATCCATGGAGCCCATCTTCAGGAAGGTGTCACATGCAGTCTATAGAACCCATCTTTAGGAAGGTGTGACATGTAGTCTATAGAACCCATCTTTAGGAAGGTGTGACATGTAGTCTATAGAACCCATCTTTAGGAAGGTGTGACATGTACCTTGCAGAGAGTTTTGTTGTCACATCTGCTCTGTATTTAGCTGGCTTTGTTCCTCAGAGAGATTTAGACATGCTTTGTTGTGCGCATGGGACTGAGTTAATCTTCACAAGAAAAGTTTTCAGCAAATCGTGCTGTGTGTAAATATGCCAAAATGAAGCAACTCGGATCTAGACTCGGCTACCGAGTCATGTCAAGCTGAACTGCCCTCTCCTCTCTGCTACCTGTGAAGATTGTGGAACTCCCCGCATGCCCCAAAGACAGCTGCACCAGCAAGGCCCACCCCAGAAACAACTCACGGCAACTGGAAACCTAGAGCCCACCGCACAACTTGCAGGCATCTTAAAGGCTGAAATGTGTATTTTCCTGCAGCTCTGTTGGTCGTCGTCTCTTCCAGACGGCTGGGCTTGTCTGAGGTTGTCTCTCAGCAGTCCATGTTTCTTAGCATCTAATTTCAGGGACTTCCTGAGGCTCTGGAGTTGTTTACTTCCTGACTTTTTTTTTTTTTAAGATTCATTATTTTGTGTGTGTGTGTGTGTTTTGCCTGAACACATACATGTGCACCATATGTATGTCTGGTCCCTAGAGGCCAGTAGAGGGTGCCAGATCTCCTAGACCTAGAATTACAGATGGTTATTAACTGCCACGTGGGTTCTAGGAACCAAAGCCCAGTCCTCTGCAAGAGCAGCAAGTGCTTGTAACTGCTGAGCCATCTCTCCAGCCCCTACTTCCTGAGTTTTAAGGCCCCTCCCTTCAGAACATTAGGGATCTTCCCCCTGGATGGAAACGCTATACAACAATCCAGTTTCACTCTCTGCGTCCTGGGGGTGTGGGTGACGAACAGCTCTCCTCTGCTGCATTCTTCTTCCACTGTGGTGTCCTATACACATATTTGGGGCCAAATGACCATAAACTGAAACTTCGGAAACCATGCCAAAATACATCTTCCCTTACTTAAGCTAATTGTCCCTCTGGTATTTTTGTCACAGTGAAGACAACAGGAGAGTATGTCTCACTTGAAGTCCACTTGTTATACCGCTTCCTGGTTCCTCAGCATCCAAGAAACAGGTCTGTCTATCACACCTTAGAAGCAAAAATCAGGAAATGAGTCCATCTTGATGCCTCCCCCAAACCACCCATTTCATGCCTGCTTTCTCTGGCTCCACTGTTCAGCCTGGTCACCACCAGTTTCCAATTCCTGTCAATTTGGTTTCCAGAAGGCTGTGAGGACCATCTGCATCCCATGGTGACTTGAGCTGATGGCTCTCTGAAACAACTGCCCGCAGAAGGCTGCTGTCATGCAAAGTCACTCCATGTAGTTAGGAAATCAGCCCCTGTTAAATATACAAGGGAGGCGGGTGCCACTTCCTATTGTAGAGACCAGGCGGTGGCTTTCTTTTATTTTCCTATTTCCTGGGGGCTGGGAGGGGTGCTGGAGAATGGGAGGACTCCCAGCCATTTGAAGGCTTTCATGCATGAGTTCAATTCTGGCACGCAGAACCCTTGGTAATTAAATGCCTGACAGCTTAAGAAGGTGGGGCTTAGCCGAAGTGGTAGGAGCAGGTGTAGTCAGCATGAAGGTGGTTAATTGTAAAGCCATGGAAAACAGGGGTGTCCAGTAATAATATGTTGTGTATTACTGAGGGAGGCCTTTGGTCTGTGCTCCTCAAAGCTCCTCACAGATGTTAATTAGTCCAGCTCTTGGTACAGCTCTGACCCCTGTATTACTAATCAGCTGGCTGGGGTCATTCTGCCTTACCCAGATACACATGATTGGGCAAGGAGATGATTCCCAGTGCTAGTAATCCTGGCCCTTACATGCCCAGAGTTTATGGGACGGACTGGCAGATCCAGAGGCTTACGAGTCTGTCCGCTGAGAGCCAAGGGCCTATTATTGCTCCAGGCTTTAGAAGCCAGAGGCTTGCGGCTCAATATATTGAAGTCAGAGTATTCTGGGCTTTACCCACCCGTAGTCACACTTTGGCAGCTCCTGGAATCCTGAGTGTCCATCAGCAACGGGCAGTGCCTATGTGATTATCGTTGCGGCTTTCAATCCTAGAGAAAGACCGTTACCCCTTAAGGGTTGGTGGCTCCCTGGAACTCTTCCCGTGGCTGGTACCCCATTTCCCTCCTCTGCCTCGCTATCGCCTCCTTCAGTCCTGCTGTCTCCTGTTTCCGCCACCAGTGTATGCTGTTGCTCTGGCCACGTTCTCTCTCTGGAGCTCTTCAGTGCTTCACTGGTGTGTTTGTCATATTACTAGTCTAGCTTGCATTAAAAAAAAAAAGTGTACCATCACTCGAGAGAAGTTTTTATTGGACAAAAGATTCACCCAACTTACTGAAAAAAAGGTGAGCGGAATAGCTTGTTTATATAGCCAGGAATGGGGCGTGGCAAAGATGCTTGCACCAGTCACAGTCCTTCTGCTGGACCACTAAAGGAAATGCTCCCCACACTCCCAACCCCTGTGTCCTGGTGGAAAGTGGTTACCAGAGCTTACCAAGGCTTGTGACGGCAAGAAGTCTGGTGCATTCTATTGAAAAGCTGTGTCTTAGAGACTGCCTTCTGGACTCACGACTATGGAAAAGCTATGTCTTAGATACTGCCTTCTTCTAGACTCACGGCTTTGCTTTAGCAGTGAGCAGCTGTGGTTGCAGTGGAGCTTCCTCAGAGAACCTAAGGGGTGCTCAGAACAGGACAGCAGCCATGACAGTTCAGTCAGATGCTAAAGAAGGGCAGTTTGGTTGAGTCAGTCCCATGACCAAGGCCGCTAGGTAACAGAGAAGGATGTGTCAGTCTGGGTGCCAAATTGACCCGGCCCCCAACATTTTGTTTATTTAAAGGAAATACGGACAATTAAAGGTGCATAACATCCCGTCCCTCACATCTTCAGCTCTGATAGCATTCAACAGCACTCTGCTCTTCAGCTGTATATTCTTCCAGAAAGTTGGGTCATTTTACCCGACCCATTTGGACTGATTTGGGAGGCCTAGACTATTGTTTCCCCAGGCTTTAGTCCTAAAGTACGGGTCTCCAGGATTGACTGAGTCTTCAGAGCTCAGGGTCTACCAGATCCCTCCTGGGATGAAGCAGATGGCTTCCTAAAGAGCAGGCGCAAACACACCGGTCTTTCAATCGTTGGCAACCCACGCTCAGACCTTGTGGCTGTGGAGATCAACAGCTGAGCAGTGGCAGGGGTCTCCACATCTCTGCAGTGTCCAGCATGTCCATCCATCCCAACAGTCTTTGCTTTGTCCTGTGTAAATGCACAAGACTCCTCTCCCCGGGCTGCACGTACGGGTACTTTAAGGCACTCCCACAACTGACCTCTTTTTCCCCATGTACATACAGTTGGCCCATCTATTCATATACACATGCCTGTTTTCTGTGCGCAGATATTAAACACATTAAATACATATTTGTACACTCAGAGGGTTTTATGTATATATGTTCAGGAGTACACACACGATTTATACCACATGCATATGCACGTGTATACATCTACACTATTTGCATATACACAGGTGTTGCCACATGTGGCCTTTCTACATGTACATGCAGATATGGCACACGTACACACACCGAAGCAGACACGTGGCCTTCTATTCCCTGCGCATGCACACAAATATGCATACAGTTGGCCCTTGGTGTACACACAGAGGAGCGCACACACGTGGCCTCCATGCGCACATGCCGGCGCGCGCAGCGCTTTTCAGTGCGGGCGGTCTCCAGCCGAGTCCCGCCACCCGCGCACGCGCGCACAGGCCCCTCCCCTCTCCCAGGGCGGGTAGCACCGGCGAGAGGCGCGGGAGATGAGCGGCTGGTGGAGGAGGAGGAGGAGGAGGGCGCCGAAGGCGCGAAAAGGCGCGCAGGCGCGCTGCGCGGAGCGGGCCCGCCGCCGCCCACGTCACCGCGCCGCGCGCACGTCACGCCGGCCCGACGCTCGGCCCAGGGTGAGCCCGCGTCCCGGCGCCGCTGGCTCAGGGCAGGGACCGCCAGGGCCGGACCTCCGGGCCGGCGCCCCCGCGCCCCCGTCGTCCGCCCCGCGCGCCCCGCCGGCCAGCCAGGTGTGGCGGGGGCGCCGGCCGGCCGAACGGGAGGGCGCGGGCTGGGCGCGCGGCCCCGTTCCCGCCCCAGCCCGGTTCCCGCGTCCGGCTGCATCCCGCCCGCCGCCCAGCCTCAGCCCAGAGTCGGCCTCGACGCGGCGTGGCGTGGGCGGCGGGCAGGGGTCCCGGCCACCCTCCGGCTTTCTCCGCGCCGGCCTGCGGGGCTGGTGGCCGGGCCTAGTGACAGGTGGGGCGGGCGGGCGGGGGGAGCCCACCTGTCAGAGTGGTCGGCGGCATCTTGGGGTCTTGGCAGTCCGAGGGCCTGCTCCGGCCCGGCCGGGCGGAGCCGCACGGTGTCGTTTGCCCGAGTTGGGGGCCTTGTGCCTCGGTGGGGCCTGAGGTCAGACGGGGCCCGCGCGCCCAGGTGGGGTGAGCCTGACGGCTGCGACCCGCTCTGCCCGCTCTGTCGAGGGGTCGGGCTCTGGCCCCTCGCTGCGAGTGGGAGCTGCTGGTGGCCTCAGGGAGCATTTCCATTTGGAGAGGTGACTTAAAGTCCCCGTGTGGGACCTGCTTGGCTAGCTCTCCTGTCGGGATTGTGCAAGAAAGGCCCCTGCTGCCTGGAGGCCTGCCTCGTGCTGGTGGGGAGATGTTTCCTTTGAAATGCGAGGTCTGTTAAACTTCGTTTTTCATTCTCACTCACTGACCGTCTCCTTCCTTTTTACCAGATCTGTCCGGTTTCTTCTGTGGAGGGTACGCAGACAGCCTTGATTTCCTGGATCTGGTAACATGGCAAAAGATGTAAGTATGATCGCTTCGTGCCGTTGCAGTGTTCTCTTTTTATTTCAGAGTGGCCATACTTTCATGGCAGTGGTTTATCCTCAGACATTTTACATTTTTACACGCAGGAACTGGGATGGAGGTGAGGGATGGAGGAACAGTAGGTGGGTGCCTCCCCCTTTGCACACGGGTTCTTTGTCATCTGAAGCCTGACACATTACTTGTGGTTGGATGATGCAGTCTTGATTTTCCCCTAATCTATCCAGACTGTTTAAATAATAATAATAAAAAAATCGAATACACCTCTGAGGTCAAATGAATGTGTGTCGGGGGGTGTTCTGTGTTAGTGGGTTTCCACACAGGAGAACTGTCAACATGGAACTTAGGCTGTGCTTGTTCTATGTAGTATGTAGGACAATAACTGAGCTTTGATGGATTGAATATCAACTTGTTTGGGCACATTTTTGTCAGAAAGATGATGACATTTGGCGATTAATGAAACACGGCGGAAATGCTGGTTGGTTTAGCTTTTATATTTACCTTGAAACTACTAGATATTTTGAGTAATTATTTTTGGAGCAGGTATGGAGACGTAGGCTTTTAGGCTGCAAACTATAGTCCGTGTGGTTGATCACATACATTTCTGCAACACCATTTTGGCGTCTTCCAGCACAGTTGGTCTCCTTTCCAGTGTTTCTCAGCAGTCACCGCTCTGTGAATATTAGATCCGTGTATTTGCTGTGTAGCCTCAGAAACACAGGCAGACACGCAGCTAGAGTTGTGCCCGGATGTAGAGATCCTGTGTCTGGTGTGGGACCAGGTACAGGTCCTGAGTCCTGGCCACTGACTGGAGGCCCTAAGGACTCAGCTATGCTTAAAGAATGCTCCACACAGGTCCACAGTAACTCTCTCTGTGTCATCAAGCACTGGGCCTTCTTTTGGGAGTTATGTCACACCCTGGAAGACCACGTATAGGTCACCTGAAATCACTACCATGTGTGGTTTTAGCTTGATCTTGTCATGTCCGGTTGTTTACCCATGCCCCGACTCCCCTCCATATGTGTGCCCTACCTAACACACCCATGCCCCGACTCCCCTCCATATGTGTGCCCTACCTAACACGAGACATGCTGCTGAGCACATGCCCACAAAGTCACTGGATGTGGTAAATGGTTTGTAAGTGGGGTACTGGCCCCCGTGCCTACTGGCATGGTCTCATTCGGGGGACCATTTTCACTTCAGTGAGTCTGCATGCTCAGGGGCTTGTCGTCTTAGTTTGGCGTTATTCACTCCCCTTTCCATGTGCTGTGTCCCTGGGGACGGGGTGGTGACAGGTGGTCAGGATCTCCCATCACACTGAGAGTATGGGCCAGCTGGTTTGGGGTTATCCACTGTGGCGTGGCTGGGCTGGTGCTGAAGCTGAGTCCTGCCCACATGCTCACAGGCCACCAGTACCCTGGCAGAGGGGAAGTGGCCCTCCCTGTTTTCAGGCTAGAAGCAGAGATTATGGACAGTCAAAGGTTGGGCCTTTTCTGTAGCCAATCATGTTTTTATGTAGAATGTGATGTTTGCATTTCAGAAAGGGTCTTTGTAGCCTGTGCCAAAGGAAAAAAAAAGAGATACCACTAAAGTTTTTTAAGCACTTTGATGCTCAGGAAATCTAGCAATAAAGTACAGCTTGTAAGACCAGGCATGGAGCAGAAGTCAAGCTCTGGGTCATTATGGAAAAGACTCGGAAAGGATAGAGAAAAGACGAGAAATAGCTTAGGGGTTTTCTGCTTCAGCAGATGCCCGGGCAGATGAGCAGGTGAGTTGGGTTCCCTGGGAACAGCAAGGTATGTGGTAGGGCTGGCAGTTACGAGGGAGCAGGGTGGGATGGCAGAAGATTTTGTTGATCTGGCAAAGGATTTCTTCCATGAAGGACAAGAAAGCTGATCTGGGAAGATGTGGGAGTGTGCAGGAAAATAAGGAGCGGTGGCGGAAGGGGCGGTGAGTGCCTGCAGGTGCTCTGGGATGCCTGCCTGCATTGCTGTCTGAGATGCTGCAGAGTGTCCCTGTGGAACATGTATAGGATGAGCAGTGATGACCCTGCTGTAGGGGCTGGAGAGGCCTGGTATGAGGGGGTATGTCTTAGACTGTGAATGTCTTCTCCCAAGGTCAGCCTAATGCTTGCTGCCTGGGGAGTTGTGCAGTCTTACAGGGAAGACTGCATTCTTTGACTTGCCAGACATCAGGAAATTTCACCCTTATTGACATGCCCAGAGGAGGTTTCCTAGCTGATTATAAATTTGATCATATTGACAATGAGGATTAACTATCACAAGTACATCCCTTGTTAGCCTGACACCAGACACATCATTTTAAAACTTAATGTTCCATCCCTGGACCTTAGAGGCTCATCTCCTAAGGCAAGATGCTTTTGTAGTCCATTGGGCACTAGCCTTTAAAATCTTAACATTTCGAACACTGTTCAAAACCCTAAATCCCAGCTGTTGAGATGGCTTGCTTGCCAGACGTGACTACTTGAGTTTGATCCCTGGGACCTATGTCGTGGAGGAGAGAACTGACTCCCGTAAGTTGTCCTCTGCTCTCCATGTGTCCTCTGCCTACTCCTGTAACAGAGAACCCACCAGTGCAGGACCAGAATTCAATAGGTCAGACGCCAGACCGTGCAGCTCCATGTCTGCTGTCTTGGACCTGGGATGGAATCCTCGGCTTTGGCAGACTCGGGTAGCCTTGCCCCTTTAGTACCACTGCCGGTAGCACTTGAGGCCTCTTTCTTGGGCTTGCTCTATTTTGTGCTTGCCGCTTTCCTTGGCAGATGTTCCTTGATCTTGCCCCGATAGACCCTGTATCTAGAGGTCTCTATTGCAGCTCAGGGTTTACCTTTCCAGCTTCACTCAGTGGCCTCTCAGCCCCTTTGCAAGGACTTCAACCCTGCCCCCTCTTATATTTTGCATGCCTGCAAAAATCAACCTGAGGACAGTGTCAGGTTCTGCTGCCAGTTTGAGATAGATGGCCCTTCCACTATGGCTGTGGTGACCTTCTGTGTCTTGTCAGCTAAGTTTGGGGAAATGCTTCCCGAAGTGGTTGTTTTCATTTGATGTCATTCTCAGTTCAAGCTTTCTTTGAAACAAATTCATTTTCTTAAAGGAAAAAAAAGCACTATTGTTATGTGGACAAGTATGTATGTGTTTCTGCATGTATGCACAAATGCCATGTTGTATATAGATACCAAGATATAGATAACTTTATGGAATTATTCTCTCCTTGCCTCTTTATGTGGGCTCTGGGGATTGAACTCAGGTTGCCAGATTTGCTTTTACTTGCTGAGCCATCTTGCCATCTGTAGTTGGCATTTTTACCAATTGGATCTTTATTGTCTTAATGCAAAGTGTGAGCTGTCCCCTCGATTATAGATGTTTTGTTTGCATCTTCCTGACCTGCAGCTTTAAACTCGTTCGTGTTCCTTTATCTTCATGTTCCTTTTCACCATCTGACTGAGCAGGTAGCAGCAACCTTGCCGCAGCCTGGATGCCATGCCTTCTTGAAATCTCTTTCACCAGACTGCTTCTTAGCCTATTACTTTTAAATTTGCCCTCATTCCGGTTTTAAGGGCATGGCCAGATTGTTTGCCAGAATGTAACACAAGTGGCCTCTCCCCCAGTTCCCAATAGAATCCTTGTTCCTCTGTGACACTTTGTGAGCCTGGCCTTCAGTGTCCACATTTCCATTTTGAATGCCCACCAGAATGGCATGGTAAGTTTGCTTATAACATTCCAGGCGTTCTTTACACCATGAGCTTCAAGTCATGGATCAGGCTTATCCTACCGTAGTCCATTCCTCAGTACCAGTTTTCCGTATTAGTTTCTTTTCTCATTATTGTGACAAAAGCAACCTAAGCAAAGGTTTCTTTGGCCTCCAGTCTGAAGAGACCATTGTGGTAGTGAAGGTGTGTTGGAGGGTGCTAAGTCCGTGGTCAGAAAGCAGAAAGATGACGCAGGTGCCGGCTGCTTGCCTTCTATCCCTTTTATTTAGTATGAGGCCCAGTCCATAGAATGGTACCACTCACATTCAGGCTGGGTCCTCAGGTGAGACCTCCCTGAAAACAGATGCCTGCAGGAGCACTCGTACAGCATTCTACAGCATTCCACATGCAGTCAGCCTGCAGGACATCTCATTGTTCTAGCCTTGCTTTCATACGACTGTCATACCTACCGTTTCTGTCTTTTTAATGGTTGTTTGACATGTTGTAGAATTGGAGACAGTGCTACTGAAGAAGCGAGTTAATATGGGGAATGAACCACAGTGTAGTTCAGTCCATTGGTCACTGTTACAGCCTTTATCCACAGACCGAAACTGCTGTTTGGAGAGCAAGTCCACTTGCTTCAGTTCCCTGCATGTACTGTCCCTAGAATATCCAGTTCTGATTTTGTGGATAGAGAACAAAGACACTTGGACATGGCACTCTCCTAGATTTCAAGTGTTCCAGGGTCTTCATAGCAAAGAAAGCTGGTGTGTTGGGATGGATAGGGCCAGGTTTTAGCTGCTCAAGCCCAGAGTACAGAGGTCATTCAGGAGGGCCTATTGACATTAGCATTCTGAGAAGAGGGAGGCTGGAATCTGGAGGCGGAAAGGCACCTGGCCCTTTTGCCTTGAACATGTACATTCCTGGGGCTTCTGTGGTTTCCAGGATCAGTCTTAAATGGTTACAAATTTGTTATGACCCTGAGGATAAATCATTGAAGGGTGATTTGTGATGTGTGTGCGCCACTGTATACATGTAGTGTCTCTGAGTTGTCAAGTTCTAGAAAGACCATTCCAGGTGACCACTGTGGTGGTACCAGGCTGTTGGTATATATAAGTTAAAATAAAAGCATTCATTTTAACTTTGCCTCTCCAGCATAGACTTCAGCAACAGCCATAAGCTGTAAAACTAGCTCAGCCTGATAGAATATAAATAATGAATTGTATCTTGTCAAAAAATTTTTAGGAATGAGCCAGGCATGATGGCATATATC